TGTAATTTGTTTTTCTCTTATTTAAAATTTTACAATTTACATATACTGTACTACAGGTATACTGTATACATAAATATTACAAAAATTATTTCTGCAATTCTTCACAAACAAAACACACAACTCAATTGAACATGTGATGTCGAACATGAACTGTAAACAATGCATAACCCCGCGCCAAGCCACAACAACCGTTCGAGTGGAATCGCGTTAGAGCAAATGCGTTCGCGTTTTACAAATATTGTTCCTCTATTCATCAATCGCATTAGAGCCATTTCGCGTTGTCAAAACACGCGTTATAGCAGAACTCACTGTATGTGTGTTGCAGTAGGCACATACATCTCCCTTAGAATGGAAAGAGGTACAACATAAAGGTTGTAGTTGGAGATTTGAAAAGGTTTGAGTGAAACTGCTTTGGTCAGTTGAAGTTCAGATAGTAGTAAGAAGTCGGAGGAAGAGGTTAGTAGATGGTGCTCCTCAGAAGGAAAATTGGTTCTCAGGCTGCGAATATTGGAAAAATGAAATGTGAAAAACGCCAAACATTAAATATCATAAAATTAAAATTACTCTTTTTATTTATTTTTTAAATGTATCACAAATTACCCTGCGTGTAATGCGCCTGTATTACGGATAGGAGGCCGAGCGCTGTATGCGGAGGTGCCTAGCTAGGGAGTCTGGGACGAGCTGTAGTCCACTAAGCACAAAAATTGTGTTACCAATAATAAAATACTGAAAAACAAGCCAAATTATCACAATCTATTATCACAAACTTATGGCAAATTTGCCGAGGACGTAAGTAATGGATTACATTGGCTTAACGGCAGAGGGAAGCTCCCATCATCTCACTGTACCTCCTTCCCCAGCATACGTAACCCACACCAGATACATGTCTTACATTATTTAATGACTGTAGTACCTTTAAGAAACATTTGTTTATTATCTAAATGAAAAATGCCCCAAGAAAGATTAAAGAAATGTTTACAGAAAGTTCAGCCGCCAGTCAGCCATTTGCAATGAGTCGATGACGCCAAAACAATAGCAATGGTGCTACACCCTGGTGGCCGATCGTGGCAACACAAAACATCACAGCTAAAAATACGAGTTTCACATCCTGTCGGTAATTCTCTTTACCAAAATATAAAAAAATATAAACAAGCCACACAGCTGCTCTGATCAGAGGTAGAGTTGGGTTGATATAATGTTACTATATACAGTATGATTTCCTACTTTATTCCAGTATATATTGTATTTACATGCACAAAATCATATGTTTTTCCCAACAAAACCACTTTAAAATCACTCCATAATTGTATGACGAAGCATACTAAAAAAAAATTTCCACAAAATATCCTTGTAAAATAGGGGTGCTTCTTATGCGGTGGTGTGTCTTATATGCCGGAAAATATGGTATGCAAAACACACTTCTGTGTTTCTTTTGTTCCTTGAGGTGCACCATTCTGTATTAAATGGTTACTGTTGTTGGCCCAGTATTCAATGGTAAACATAAATAAAAGCCAATTTTATATAACTTCACCTGCAGCATATTCTGGCACCCAGGGTCAGGGTGTGAATCCATAGGAACAGCCTACCTGGAGGCCACCCCTCTCAAACACAACAGAACTCTCCCACACCCACAGCAGACTCCTGAACTCATAGCCCTCACAAACCAGTTCCAACTGCTGCAACAGAGAGCTGAGACCCATGGTTGGGACATCTTAAGCTACAATGCATACAGAAGAATCCGGGAGGAAATAAAAACAAGATCTCTGAAACAAAGCAACCTTAAATGGGCCGAAATAGTTGAACAACTCTCACATACATACAACGATCCAGGAGAGTTCTGGCGTCGAGTTAAGAGATTGAAAGGTTGCAGCCGTAACGAGTCATCATATATAACTGACCACGTAGGAAGTAAAATATATGACAACCAAGACAAAGAACCCATATTCAGGGACATATGGAGGAACATCTTCCGAATCACAAATGAAGAGAATAGGGGATTCGATGGTACCCACGAGGAGCTCGTCCTTGATGAACTCCGGGGCCAGACACACCGCACTCAGCCCTCCCTTGAAATCATATGGGAGGATCTGAGAGTGGACAGCCCATTGTCCAAACCAATCACCTCATAAGAACTCAACAGAGCCATCTCTAATACCAAAAATAAAGCCCCCGGTTATTCAGGAATCACCAAGGAGATCCTCAGCCACATAAACAACCCGGCCATGGACAGACTGAGAACCACAATGAACACTTGCCTGGCCTCAGGTTACTTCCTAACTAAATTCAAAGAGGCCATTATTACCCTAACACCAAAACAAGGAAAGAAACCCGCCATCCCACTAAACTACAGACAGATCTCCCTCCTCGAAGTACCTGGAAAAATACTAGAAAAAATCATCAACAAGTGTCTGAGAAATCACCTGGAAACAACAGAGTCAACTGCAGACAATTCGGGTTCAGGAAAGGGATGTCCACCACAACAGCGATAGCCCTGGCATGTGAAAACATAGCCAGAGCCGCGGCGATTGGTAGACAATGTAATCTAACTCTCCAGGTTGTAGCGAAGGCATTTGACAAAGTTTGGCACGACGGTCTAAAATATAAGATCCTTCAACTTGGACTTCCCACCAACATTGAAAGTTGCTTTGCAGCTTTCTTGACAGCAAAAATGCCAGACTGAGGGTAGGACAACACACAGGAGAGACCTTCCCACTCATGAGTGGAGTCTCTCAGGGGAGCATCCTCTCCCCCACCCTTTATATTATCTACACAAGTGACACTTCGCCTCCCACTAGAATAGGTAACAACGATATTATGTATGCAGACGACATCACTCAAATAACAACACACAAGGAAAATTGCTAGCGCTACAGGGCGACAACACCAGGCGGGAATTAGAAAGGGTAAATAATTACGAAAAACAATGAAAAATCCAAACCAGTCTCCTGAAATTCACAGTGATACCCTTATGCAGAAGGAAAACTCCTCCATTAGTAACCAATAATGCCCAGATAGAATACAAATGCAGAGGGACCCTCCTGGGCCTACATATATCCACAACAGGTTATTCCCATCATGTCCACACCAGGAAGGAAAAAAGCAAAAAGAGCTGAGAAAACTGTAGCGCTTTAAAGCGCTTCCTGAGAAAATAAAACTTCACCTGGTGACATCATTTATCACACCAATATTAACTTACCCAGCAATACCTCTTCATACTATGAGCACTGTATATGTTCTGGGTACCAAGTTCTATCTACAGGAGCGAACACAAACACCTGTAGAGTTTTCGTAGGTTCTATTTACTGGACAAACAGAGATACACAAGTGAAACAGCTCTCCCTGATCTGTCTGGGGGTCAACTAGCCTTTCAGGCGACATGTGGCAAGTGACACATTAGCAGCTTCCATATGTCGCCAGGCACATTAATTAAGCGTGTGGGACATGGTAAATACATTGCCACACGCTGCTAGCTAGGATGAATAAATAATGTATATAAATGGATCACATACATAATATACATACAGCATACATAATATACATACAAGCACCACTCAAATATTTAAATTACAGGTGGTTCAAAATGAAGCCCTAAGATTCGTCACAGGCGAAAGTTACCTCTTCACCAGAACCACAGCCGAGATACATAGAGACCTGAGAATGAAACCCATCAACCAGCAGCTGCCCACCCTGGCCAGCAGAATCTGGCAAAAGATAGAACGATCAGAGCAAGAACTCCTTCAAGACTCACCAGATATGGCAACAACAACCATATGGTTCCAAAATGTTACCAAATCTCAAGGTCCATTACCACCCCTGATCTACGGCCAGGCAATAGACAACCTCCCTGAACCAACAGCACGCCAGGAGAAAGTCGTGAATATGAAACAAGGCCCTTAAAACACCCATGTATGGGATAGGGTAGGATGTCCTAGCCATGTACTGACAGACAATAACTAACCCATGACACAACCCTAACACACTTAAGCACTAGCTGAAAGCGGTCAGTCACCCTCTCTTACCTCCTCCTAAACTTCATAAATTTCTGAACTATAACTTCCTTTCCTCTTATCTTCTTTCACCCTTCTCTCAAAAAAAAAAAAATAAATAAATAAATAAATCAGGGATTCAAACACACTTCAACATGCTAATATTTTATTTTGATTTCACCCATCAAGGTCTGGGTATATTTGTTCATAAAGTTAACCAATCTCCCTTAAGCTAAGCTAAACTAAGCTAAAATAGTAGTTATTAACTATTATCATCTGTTAAAAATACATCCATTGTATGAAAGGGACAACTTTTTTTTACATCCTTGTAGATCAAGTGAAAATTGACGTCGCTGGAAGCTTGTAATTCCTGGGTGAAAATGAGTGTTCAGGAGGGGAAAATTCATATTAGAAACATATTCCTCATCTACCTTTTGGCTTTATCATGAGGTATAAAGGGATTTATCTTTTATGTTAAAAACTGCTGGTTCATGTTTTTTAACGTTTGGTTTATCCAGTGTTAGTTTGATTAAAGCCTCCGAGTAAGTTTTACAGACTGTGGGTATCTTACTTACCTAACTGAACCTAACATAAATTAACATAATAAACTTAACCTAAAATAGTTGCCTCCATCCTAGGATGGTTAGGTTTGGTTGGTTAATCTTATCTATACCAATACCATACATTTGTGTTTAGGATTAAAATTTATTTATTTTTTTAATTAAAGAAAGTTGTTTTTGGATATTTTTGAGGTAAGAAACAAGTTTCTTTCTGAAGAAAATTTTTGTGAAGTTACTGGTAATTCGGGGTATCCTAGTGTATTACTGGAGCTAAAAGTAAACCATTTTAATATAAGGAAGGATAACAAACCCATCTTTACTCTAACCACTGTGAAATTCATAGATTCCCAAGTATTCTTCTGGATTTATATTAATGTATAGATATTAAATGTACTGTACTGAGACATTTAAAAACAATATTTTATTTAAACTACAAAAAATATTTTTGTTTCAGTTCTTGATGAAGCGGATATATCCTTGCTGAAGTCATATGTAAATAAAAAACTAAGAACTCCATTTCAATTATATATATATATATATATATAATGTGTGTGTTTTTGTGTGTGTGTGTGTGTGTGTGTGTGTAAATATTCACATCTTCAGGGTGAGTACAGTCTCAAGAGAAATACAAACCAAATTGTAACCAGGTGAGAAAGGTCGGTTCACATGACCATCTGACCACCACCAACCATTGTGTGCTATTTAAAGATTAGTAGGTCATTACCTACTAACCTGACCATTGTGGACCTGGTCTCACCCTCCTCTATATATACACATAGTTTGTATTTCTTTAGTCTACTCACCCCTGAAGATGTAATTAGTGCTTAGGACTTAGTGTTTCTTCTTCCTTGTGGTTATCAGCATATACCTAGATCACAGCATACCAGTGATTTACTTGCATATATATATATACAGTATATATATATATATATATATATATATATGATTATGCCAATTGGGTCAGTGGCCAAGAGTCCAGCGCTAAGTGAAATCATGAAAGTGAACACAGAACATATGGGATTAATTCAATAGAACCCAGCCCAGACCCCCAAACTCCACTTTTGGCGACACATAACTATAATTGTAGTAAAATTCTATCTTAACATGATGGTATGAAAAAAACAAGTAATATAGAGAGGTTGGGTTAGGAAGATAAGGAACAACATAGGAAAAAAAATAAGAATAGGTTAAAAAACAATTTTGTGGAACACTTACGGTAGTAGAGAAGAGATGAATTACATCTGAGGATGGGCTGGATTTCAAGTGAACGTTACTGGCCTCAGGTGAATCTGCTACCTAGGTGAAGATCAACATCACTGTCACCCACAGTTGTCAGGGCTTCCTGACAAATCCTCAAGAGTGTTAACTTGCATTTCACTATCACTGGCTTGAGCTGGCTGTGGTGGGTTGCGGTTATGCTTTGCTGTGGCTGGTGTTGATGTTGTCGTGATACACCTTGATATGCGGCTCCATAGCTGCCAGTAAGGCATGGAAGACTTCATAAGCGTTCATCGTCATTGTCGCTGAGGAAAGGAGCTGGTTCATTTTTTCTGCAGCTCTATAAGCACATAATATCACTATGACTTAAACTAGGTTCTTAGGAGGGCAGCACATATACTCTCTTCGCTGGTGCTATTTAACATCTGCGTCAGCAATTCACTTCGGATCTTTGATCCTTACCTCAGGTGTCTCCTTCGTTGGTGGTCTCGGAGAAGCCTTCAGCTGTAATATTGGCGCAGCTTCTCTGCTTAAAGTCCACTGCTACTGCAACAGTCTGAACCTCACCAGTCACAGGTTCACTCCTCCTCTCACCTGGTATGCCATACAACACATGTCTCCATCTTTGCGGCAGCAGATCGTAGCTTAATAGTCAGCAGATCCCATGCCTCCACCGAAGTCTAGCTTGTTTTAGGTTAGCTTCTTCCATTGTTTGTGAGAAGTTCTTGAGTCCACACGCCTCTTGTTCCTTTGTCACATAAATGGCTTTTGCTTCTGCGCTTCCTTCGGTGTCACCCAGCTTACATAACTCATCTTGTAGTGTTGTGGTAGAAATTGATTCAGGAGCTTGAACTTCTTTGCAGAAATGCAGCAGCTTTCATTGCAGATCAACTCTGGTCCATGAGGCTGGACCAGCTGGCCCAGTGTTGGGAGGAAGGAAGACCACTTTTACGTTGGGGTGGCGATCCATAAGTAGGGGCGAGTGTCCAGGTCGTTGTCAAGGAGCAACCAAAATATTAGATGGAACATTCTGTTGCTCATAAATTTCTGCGTCAGGAACAAAACAGTTGTGGCCAAACCAGAAGAGGACTAGAGAAGAGGACATCCGCCGTGCGGTTATGACATTAAGCTTGTTCATGTCCATATTCTTCAGCAAGCGTCTGACTGCGGGCTTTAACTGAATCCACCGATAACGGTTTTTGGGTACACGGGAGGCATTGGTGGTAAACAGGGCCCCGATGATCGCGTTCCTTCTACGCTTCAAGAGCTCACTTACCTTGGCAGACTGGGACAACGAAGGTCTTGGAAGGTAACTTTTTTCAGAAAAGACCAGATTCGTCCATGTTAACACCTGATGCGTCACTGTACTGTCAGCCTCCATAATCTCAGCTGGCGGAGGAAAATCTCTAGCATACGGTCAGCGCACCAGCTTCCTCACCACCAATGTTGATGTTGGTGATCTTGTTCACCTTCTTAAACTATACGTAACCAGAGGAAGCATTGAAGGGGTTGGGCTCTGCAATTCCCAGTTCGTGACACTGCTCGCGTGCCAGGCTCCGTCACGTACTCCTGCACTGGCGTGTCCACCGCCATGTTGCGTCGGCGCCCTGGCGCGCAAAATAACTCACCAGCAAATTTTCCACTTTTGCCAGCACCTGTTCTGGCAACTACCTGATAAACACCTGCGGGTGCTTTGTGATTTTCATGCTCTTTTGATCTTAGCTGCGCTCTTCTTGATCGTGCGAATGATAGATGCGTTAAGCATATCTTTAGCGTGAATCAACTTAAATCTTCCTTTCTTCAAATCTTAGACAATTTGGTACTTCACCGGTAACCATGAACGTAAATTGTCTTCTTTGGCTTAGTGCCGCTGGGTCCGGAAGTAAGGAAAGGTCTCTCTCTCTGGGCGATGGTGGTCGAAGCCATTTCTGGAACAATAGACTCTTGGCGTTAACACCGGGGTAGCCTTGAGATGAAACTGCAGCGGCTAGGTCCAGCGTCGTCTCTCCTCCTCCCTCCCTCTCCCTCCCTACTCCCGGGGTGGTCACGTCCTGTCTTCCGACCAATTACAGCTGTAACCAGGGGGGGTGGGATGCATGGCCAATCACAGTCCGATCGTCATAATCGTGATGTAACAAAGACACACACTGCATAACCTTACATGGCAGCACTTAGCCGGAGGAGGAGGGAGGCGAGCACAGGCAGGCAGCGGGCGGGCGCGTGGCGCAGTGTGGGCAAAATCTAAAAATGGCATCTCGAGGCAGGACACTCACCGGCAATATATGTGGAAAAAAATCGTGTTAAGTGAAACGCGTTAGGCTGGGTAATACTGTATACATAACATATATATATATATATATATATATATATATATATATATATATATATATATATATATATATATATATATATATATATATATATATATATATATGCAGCCACAAGGACATCTAAAAGCAGTTCTAGACTCTGTTATATTTCTACACAAAGCCTGTTATCAAAATATATATATATATATATATATATATATATATATATATATATATATATATATATATATATATATATATATATATATATATATATATATATATATATATACACACACACACACACACAATCAACACCTCAACCCGCCAGGATTCGAACCCACGGCCCACGAGCCCATGACTGTGACCGAGGAACGCTACCTCTGGACCACCAGGATACTAAAAGCAGTCCTAGACTCTGTTATTATTCAATGTAAAATTTAGTGTAAAAATAATACTGCATGTGGATTGATGTTGCCACCTACATTTTTTACAGGGTCAAGGACCATACACCAAAGTGATCAAGAATGTTGAGGACGATATCCAGAAAGCTGTCAAAAAAGTAAATGATTTAACTGGCATCAAGGAATCTGACACTGGTTTAGCTGTGCCTGCCCTGTGGGATCTGGCAGCAGATAAACAAACTCTTCAAAATGAGCAGCCACTCCAGGTAACTTATCCGGTTCAGTGTGTGTGCGTGCGTGCGTGCGTGCGATTAACGGTTTATTGAAAGAGTATGGCAGCCGGAAGGCTGAAAGTATACAATTACATAATTGGGGAATGGGTCTCTTGATTTACAAATAACATACAAGTAACATTAGTGTTACAAATATGATATATAATAACTAGGTGAGGAGAAGCTCAAACTACAGGGCATTTCAACATAGTGACAGTGCAAAAAGTAAGATTGACTGGGAGTGAATACACTGGTTGATTACAAGTTATTGATAATTTTTACAATGGTTGGGACTGGGCTGTTCTTATAGCGATCAGCTCGTGCTCGTATGGGCTGGATGCGGTTGTGGTGTCGAACAGCAATTCTCGGGCGAGTGATCTCAGGTGGTAGTAGGAGCTGGTGTTGAGGATGGTGCATATGCTTCTCACCAAATTTACAGATGAGGTCGTGGTGATGGTCATTAATAATAATAATAATAATAATAATAATTAACGGTTTATTGAAAAAATTCTGCAGCCCGAAGGCTGAAAATATACATTGGACATAAATGACTTATTACATACATTGGTGGTTTAACAAAAGCCTTCATTAGAGAAAGGTAAAGGAACATACAGTGAACATACAGATGAATGTAGGTGTTGAACAGCAAACTCGTAGTGTAGTAACTCCCTCCCAGATGGTGTTAGGAGGAACTCACGTGGTGTAGTAGTTCCCTCAGATGTTGTTATGAGGGACCTGGCGTGGTGTAGTAATTCCCTCGCTGATGGTGTTATGAGGGGCATCACGTGGTGTAGTAATTCCCTCACAGATGGTGTTATGAGGGGCATCACGTGGTGTAGTAATTCCCTCACAGTGTGTTCATGCGTGCGTGTACTAAGTTAATTACTAAAATTTGTAATCTTATTGGAAACGTTTAATAGAGATTTTATTAAGGATCATTATGGTTTCAAATTCATCTCCCTATCACAATTAGCCACACTTGAGGAGGGAGGGGGGGTGGGGGCTGACCACGCGACTCTACCCCCCAAAAAGATTCTCTGCTTCCGTCTCACACCTACACACCCTCCAACACACACACACACACACCCTAACACTACTCACACACCGCAACACCACTCACACACCCCCAGCACATCTGCATGTGTGTGACTGCATGGTCACTTCTACTGTACATACAATGCATAACATTAAATAAAAGCTACATACGTACAATATTTTTTACGTTAATTTTACTACATCTACAGCCATTGTTAGTCGACTTTAATGTACACAAAATCAATACTGTAAGCTCTAATTCCCACACATTTCATCCCAAATATTGATGGATAATTGCTTTGGAAAAATCCTTTAATGGCAACTGGAAGCTGACGGGTTTCAGTCCTGTCCATATGGTAGGAGATACCGACAGCACCTCCCCCCTCTTACCAAGAGATCACTACACCTACGTGTATACGTAGTACATGAACCATAAGTCAACTTGTGGCATGATGGATGACTCAATAATGAGTAATACGGTATAAAATCAAGAGATTTTCAGGGAACTTTATGAATACATGTATACGTACGGTCGTACGTATACATGTATTTATGAAAAAATAAAAATAATGATGGACCATCCAACTTCTTGCAATTTATAAATCTATTATTTCTAATTTCCAGTAATTTTCATTAATGTATTTTATAAATTTCAAGAAAAGGGCCCAAGTTATTAATACTAATACAGCGATACACACACTTCCAACATACACCCTCCAACATTTATTGTAGTGTTTTAATAATATCCGCCTGCTCTTGAGCGGTTAAATTTGGTAAGTATTCTTTAATGTTGTTTATTATATAAGAGTTATCTTTCCTACTTCCTACAATAGGACTGTCCTCCCCAACCAAGTCTATGTCCTCAGCAGAGAACGCCTGGTTGGTGAGGACAGGTCTCTCACCCGAGTCACCCTGAGGATTCCTTCTGCGATACAATTTCATTAAGTTAAGATGTACGAATTGAGAATCCTTTCTATGATCAGGAGTTAGAATAATGTAGTTTACTTTATTTAATTGATGAGATACTTTATAAGGGCCTTGGTATTTACATTTGAGGGGTGAGCCTGGAATAGGCAAATACAGTAACACTTCATCTCCAGAATTGAAATTCCGGATTTTTGCCTTTCGGTCGTGAATACTCTTCATCTTACTTTGAAATTTCTTTAAATTATCTATTGCAATTTGTCTTACTTTACTTAATTTGGATTTAAGATTATCAAGATATTGACCAACAGTCTGTTAAGGGATCTTCGCAACTTGACTGAACCATTTTTCTTTTATGACTTTAAGGGGTCCTCTTACTTGACGACCATACAACATTTCAATAGGTGAGAATCCAAGTGATTCTTGTCGGCATTCTCTAATTGCAAAGAGCTTGAAATGAATTCCCTCGTCCCAATCAGCTTTTGTGTCCAAATAAAATCTGTTAAGCATTGATTTTACTGTTTGATGGTATCTTTTTAGGGAACCTTGTGACTGGGGATGATATGCCAATGACAAAGTTTGTTTAATGCCTAACTCCGATAGCACTTTGGAGAAAAGGTCACTTGTTAAATTAGTTCCTTGGTCAGATTGAATTTCTTTGGGGATACCTACTTGTGTAAAAAAAAAAATTAACAAAAGATCAGCATTGGTTTTAGCTCTTAATGTTTTTTACCGGGAATGCCTCAGGATACCTAGTCGTGGGGCACATTATAGTCAACAAATCTTTCTTGGAATAGGGTTAAGTGGAGCGGGAGGAATAATCTGATTGGGCTTCCCAACTAATTGGCAAGAATGACAAGTGTTGATGAAATTAGCCACTTGTTTTTTCATACCTGGCCAGAAAAAATCTTGACTAAGTTTGTTATAAGTTTTACATATCCCCAAGTGACCATTTAAGGCATCATGAGCAAGTTCTTTGAGCTGTACTCTCAACATAATAGGGTACCACTATTTGATGGACGTCAGCCCAGGAGTCATCACCCTTTAAATATCTTGGACGATATTTTCTCATTAAGACATCATCTTGATAGTAAAAACAAGGGACTTTAACAGTGTGACTTGGGTACTGCTCTATGATGAAATTAAGACATCATCTTGATAGTAAAAACAAGGGACTTTAACAGTGTGACTTGGGTACTGCTCTATGATGAAATTTGGCAAGTGAAGTATCCTCTTTCTGAGCTTTAATTAAGTTGTCCCTGGTCATAACCTGGCTGGGGAAAGTGGGAACACTTGAAGCATTAGCACCAGGGTCAAGTAAAGTTTGAGATCTAGTGACGGCACAAAGAGGAAATGATTGTGGATGTTCATTCTCTTAAGTCCTGAGTAGGACTCTCCGTCAACAGTTCATCAACCACTATAAGGTTAGGAACAACAAGTGAACCAGCTAGATCATTACCCAGTAGAAATGTAATACCTGCTACTGGCAGCTTCTCTCTCACTCCTACCATCACCATTCCCTTCAACAAGTCACTATCAAGGTAAACTTGGGCAAGGTTTACTGATGAATAAGAGGATAAGTCTTCCAAAAGCACTTTCTCTCCTGTATAATTTTCCCTAATTCCATGGAGAGCACTATGTACTATTAAGCTTTGAGCACCTGCAGTGTCCCTTTGTATGTTTACAGGAAATATTTTACCATCCTTTGAAAGTGAAATTGTACCCTTGACTATTATATCAAGAAAAAGATCTTTCTGAGAATCATTGGCTTTGGCTACATTACTAACAGACTTAGTTTTTGAGGTAGTAGCTTGGGCTTCCAAAATATATTGAAGTTTTACGCCCTGGTTCCCAACAACGAGATACATGGTAGCCTACTTTACTACAGTATGAACAAGTCACTGGTTTGTTAACATTAGCTGTAAGATTTGACTTATCACTGTTAGTCCCAAGGTTTTATCCCGAGGGTGACTACAATATTCGGCTTCTTGTTCTCCCCCTTAAACCTGTGCACTAAAGCGTATCTATCGGCCAACTGTGCTTGCTTCATCAAATCTTTTTCACCCGTCTTCTAAATAAGCCATGATATTAAAGGGAATTCGTCTTTTGAATTCCTCATTGACAACTAGATTGACAAGGTCATCAAAAGTGCTAGTTTGAGTGGTCTTAAGCCACATTTGAAAAGTACATAATTTCTCAGTAGCAAATTGAACGAATGTCATGTTAGAAACCTTAAGGAAATTTAGGAAAGTTTGACGGTATGATTCTGGAGTTATAGCATAAGCATTTTAGATACTGTCTTTGTCAACTCGAAATCAAAATAATCCTCTAGACTATTAAAGACTTGTGCTGCTTTCCCAGTGAACTTATTCTGAAGTAGCCAAATCCACTCATCCTTGGGCCACTTATAGTGGAGAGCTGTATGCTCAAACAAATGCATTGAAGACTCAGGATCTGATTCATCAAAATTAGGTACTAAATTTATATTATGGGACCAATCAAAGTGAGTTTGAATTTCTCTTTTGGCTTGGTTTTGGATTTCAATTACTCTCAATTCATGATCTCTCTCCCTTTTGCTTTCCACTCTGTCCCTTTCTCTTTCAAGTAGCTCCTTCTCAAACTTCTCTCTTTCAAATAACAATTTCTCTCTTTCAAGGTCAACTAAGGTTTTAGCTTCCACACTCACTATCTCTGGTGTCTCTAGTTGTAAAGGAAAAGCTATCACATTTTCTTTTAAGTCCCCAGGACTAGTAATGAGTCTAATAGCTTCTTCAGGAAGAAACTCTTCTGATATTAATCCTTTATGCAAACTTGTTGAGACTGGAATTTCAAAATGATCAGCTATAGTTTTCCAGTATGCTTTCCCGAGGTCTGCACCTTCGAGTTTGTCAATAATAGGATTAGCTATGAAATCAGCAATATCGAATCTAGACATGATTAATGATTGTTGATCAAGTAACTTCAAACTTAATGAAAAAATCTGTGTCTTTTTGGAATAAGAGGAATTCCCTTTCAAACTGCTTGTATATTTTACTCACAAGAAGGGGCTGGTCATCACTCATTCTGGCATTTTATATAATGTACACCAATAGTAAAGATAAAAAGTAGACCCTGTGAAATTTGTTATACTTACGGGTTAAGAATACTGATTAAGAATTCATGGACGATAGGGCCTTTTGTCCACTATCGCAAGGGAAATCTTTGTAAAAAGGCGCTCAGTAAGAGTTTCTTACGAAAATAAATACGGCCTAGAGGAAGAGGGGTGTAAAACAAGTTACATGTCTACTTAAAGAAATGCCCTGTTCAAAACTCAAAGTGAACTTCCTAATTACCCACATATTTCAGCCTCCCTCTACGCTTGGTAATAAACCCTGACTCGTTTATTACAAAAGGGAATATGTCGTTAAACCCCAAGCTTATGCTGTATTGTGAAATAATTTCACATATTCAAGCTTTCCGTATCCCTTACTATTGTGACTAATGTCGAATTTAAGCATTGGAGGGTATGATGAATTAGTGTTAATCAAAATTACACTAAAATTTGTATTGGAGCTAACGAACTCCACGTCAGAGCTTACATGTAAGGAGTCCACTCCCGTTATTGACAGTTTTGACAAACTAAGGGGAAGAAACGGCTCTTACTCAATGTAAACATTCGTGGCTACAACCACATCTGAAGTAGTTTACTTGGATCTTACAAGTATTACCCTGTTATAAATATGAACACTAATAACACACTACAACTGTATTAGTGATGAATATGAACACTAATAACACACTACAACTGTATTAGTGATTTATCAACTTAAATGATTGGCCAAATCACTCACTACCTCTGACTCCAAATAAATTTACAGAAGGCTTAACCCTTACGCCCTGGGCTTGGGTAGTGACGGCTGTACCCCCCACACGGGGGTAAAACGAGAAAAATCAACTTTTCCAAAAGAAATTTTTGACCTTTATAAACGGTAAAACAATAAAAACAGCTGTAAGAAAAACTATATATTGGCCCTCTAAAAACTTCCGTGGCGCCTTGGTGACGAGACAAATAAGTTTTTTTACGTCGAGCGCTCGCTGTCATTACGCACTTGGGGGTAATTTTCCCGCTTGCCTTTGTGTCCTAGATGGCCAGTAATGCATATATTTACTGATCATAATACAGTAGGGTCGGGATATATCGTTACACTTTATACAGAATATAATGAATTTTTATATCACGGCTACCAAAATTATTGAAATTTTCTACAGTTTCCCACTTAACGCGGTCAATTGAACCCAGAGGGTCCCGTGTTAAGTGAAATCCGCGTTAAGTGAACAACAGAACATATGGGATTAATTCCAATAGAAACCGGCCCGACCCCCAAACTCCACTTTTTGAAGGCACATACCTATGTTGTAGTAAAAATAACATCTTAATTTTATGATGGTACATGCACACAATTAATACTTAAGAGAAATAGAGAAATACAGTCGCCAAGTTAATGTCCATTCAAATAATGGACTCAACTCCCTCCCTCTCACACTACACAGCCGGCTAACAGATGGTCGGTCGGTCCCTCCCTCCCCCCCCCACCCCCCACCAACCGTCCCAAGGAGATGTGTGGGATAACCTCAAACTAAAGTTAGGAAAATATAATTGACATTGCTGGATTCCTTGTAAGACCAGGAATATTTTGAATATAAATGTCATATATTTTGCACAAAAGATAACATAGTTACCTAGAGAAAATTTTTATCTAAAAATTGTAAGTTTAAAGCAAAATATATGATGTTTATATTCAAAATGATCACCAAATTATAAGAATTCCAGCAATGTAAATTATATTCTGACCGGGTAATTTGTATGAATTTTATGAGCTAAAACAAATATCTTCAGTTAATAAAAAAAAAATAATCTTCACGACACTATCTGTCAATCAAAGTACCCCACCTTGCCTCCCCCCCTCTTCCAACCGCGCGGTCAGTCCCAACCCTCCCCCCCACCCCCCACCAATCCTCCCTTCCAGAGTTTTTAACATTTAGTATTAAATAATACCTCAGATTAAAGTTAGGATAATATAATTGACATTGCTGGATTCCTTGTAAGACCAGGAATATTTTGAATATAAATGTCATATATTTTGGACAAAAGATACCATAGTTACCTAGAGAAAAAATTTTATCTAAAAATTGTAAGTTTAAAGCAAAATATATGATGTTTATATTCAAAATGATCACCAAATTATAAGAATTCCAGCAATGTAAATTATATTCTGACCGGGTAATTTGTATGAATTTTATGAGCTAAAACAAATATCTTCAGTTAATAAAAAAAAATAATAATTCTTCACAGGGTAACAGATGGTCGGTTGGTCCCTCCCTCCCCCCCACCCCCCACCAACCGTCCCAAGGAGATGTGTGGGATAACCACTAAATTTTAATAAATAATACCTCAAACTAAAGTTAGGATAATATAATTGACATTGCTGGATTCCTTGTAAGACCAGGAATATTTTGAATATAAATGTCATATATTTTGGACAAAAGATACCATAGTTACCTAGAGAAAAATTTTTATCTAAAAATTGTAAGTTTAAAGCAAAATATA